TTTTTTTTATAATTATTAATGAAAAATTATTCGGAAAAAGAAAAATTCCAGTTGATTGATATTATTCAGAGGAATTACAATTTCAACATATATAATAAACAATTTAGAGAAATATGAAATATGCATTTCTTTACACACATCTGATATACTCAGATAGTGAGCAAAATTCTTTTGTAAGAGTTTTAAAAGAAAATAAGCATCAACAATGAAATAGGTCCAAACTAAAAATCCTCTGATTTATATAAATACATTTAATGAAAATCAAGATATAACTATAAAAAAAAATCAATTTTCAAAATTCGTTATAAATATTTTGTAGAAAGTTAAGAAACTATATCCTAAAAAGTGATTCTCTAATTATTTTGAGCAACGTATATAAATGAAGAAAAAGAAACAGAACTATATTAATACACTGCCAATGTCAGAGATATTCTACTTTTATAAAATATTCATTTCATTGCATTTGTCCTTCTTTTTTAAAATTTCATATACATAAATTCTTTGAAAATGGCATATTTCTGATATTATTTTACATTGGGTCATAATTTCTTTCACTTGATCGAGTTCTGCGACCTAATCATGGGAAAGATTTGCGTGATTTTGCCAATCCCCTTAGTACGTCCCTCTCTGAATAAAAGTCGCATCCCGACAGAGAGATATTCTGGATGACTGACGAATCTAAACAACACAGAAGCGGTGTCATTCGTCTGCAACCCTCTGTCATTTGCATCCATTATTCCCTCAATAACGCAAGTCTGTCTCACATTGCCCACGTGTACCGTGGTTTGAAACCCGGGGAATATCGCGGTTGCGTGATATAATATTAATACAGTTGCCTGAAACATAATATTAACTCTTATATATTCTCATTGACAGGAAATAAAATTTATATTTTAGAAAAGATCACAAAAAAAACATGTAGAAAAATATAAGTAAAATAAAATATAAATATAAATAAAAATATAAGTATAAGTTTGTTTATAATAGACTCATAGATGTTTCTTGAATTGATTAAAATATGAATTTGAATATGAATTCTTGCTGTCTATTAACAATAAAAATATTCAAAGTTACTAGTTGTTCTATATGTGTTCTATATGTTCTATATGTTCAAAATTTCTCTACACACCTGAAAGAAGTGTGTTGCGTGCGGTCGATCACGTAAAGAGACTAAAACCATCCCCGGACGAAGATGTGGTAGGGGAGGGCTACGATTCGTCGGTGGTGCTAGAGTCAGACTGGCACTCTGAGACGCTCTAACTAAACAACACGGAGCTTTATTACGATGCAGACTAACTACTTTCACTGGACTAAATTCTCCATCCGGCAAAGGTCCTACTAATAAACGAGTACCCGGTGCAATTGCCCCTTTAACAAGTAACCCTCCTAAAACTGGTTGTGTTAAACCTGCTACCCTATATAAAATAAAATATTTTTTTCTATTGTTTATGAAACATTTATAAAAATTCTTCTATAAGATATTAAATATATAGAAATTAATAATTATTCATAAACTATAAAAAATTTATTATGTTAGCTTTAGTCGTAAAATATTTAAAAAATATACAGAAACTAATTGTACATACCTAAATGTTTCGTCAATTTGAAATAGACAGGATTCTGGATCCGAGTCGATCGAATTCATCTCGTAAGGTGCCAAATTTTTTATAAATATAGTCAAATCTTCTAGACCTTCACCGGTAACGCAACTAACACTAAATACTGGTATCACATCGGATGTGTAGTCCCATGACGGTATATCGTTATTGCTGAACAGTACTAATTGCTTGGGATAACCTTGCGTCACCATAGCGTTTCCGAGTTGAGCTAGCGTTTCAGACATGTCGCAAAATCCCAAATCGATTTTATTTACGACAATAAAGAATGGAAGTTTTAACGCTAAACAGAGAGCCATGTGTTCCTGTGACGCATCGTTCAAAGGCGGTGCTATTACTAGCATAACATGATGGGGCGAATATCCTAAGAAAATATAAATATTCCCAAATAATGATTTATTATATTTAGCCTTCAATTATGAGAAAATCATTTATCATGTAATATAATGATCGAAAATTTAAAAGCTATATACCCGTAAGTCCAAGTACCGTCGTCCTCAGGTATTTCCGATGTCCAGCTAAGTCAATGAACGTAACAACCTTCGACGCGTGTTCGCATATCTCTTCTGCTGTTGCCATTTCAGCGTAATTCAAAACGTGACCTGCACTATCAAATCCAATAATTTCATGGGATATCGAAGATGTACGACCAGTCTTTATTTCATGCAGATGACGTAACATGTTGAGTCTTGCTCTACCTCTTCCATTATCCAACTCACCCTGCGTCAGTACTCCTACGTATACATCGAGATTCACTTACAATCTTCATAATTATATTTTCGATACATGTATATAAGGTAGACCGCGGGCAGTCAAATAGCAAAATATAATGTAGACTGTCAGTGTCATTTCTCTACCTTAAATATCCTCTGCTAATCCTCTCACCTAAGAGAGTCGACTTTCCAGCATCCTGCGCTCCGGTGACCGCCAGTCTCAAGTCTATAATACTATCCTGGTCCTCTCTGTCGTCTTTCCGTAATTTTTTTACCAGTACTTCAGTGACTTTCTTCTCCTCCTTATTATTATTTTGCAATGTTAAGGTTTTACTCGTGGCTATTCGCTCGCGTAATACTCTTATAGTAGCACCTAGTCTGGAAGCCATGTCCTTCAGCGTCTTTAAGGACGCTTTCATTTCCTCTTTTGTTAAACCCGCCAATCGTCCATTATCCTCCACTCCTACATACGTATGATGTATTGAGAAATAAGCAAAAAGGAATTATTGTAAAATTGCAATTGTAATTTATTTATACCAATTTGATAAATCGCTTCTCCATGTCCTTCTCTTAGCCTCCATTTCATCTGGGTGACAAGATGTTCAAAACGTTGACTAGATGGATTTATCAATTTTAATTTGTACTCTATGTTCCCTTGTTCTGGTTCAGGTGGTAGTCGGTCTTCTTGATCCTCATCAGCACTAGAAGTCTCGCAGTCTGATAATCCATTTCCTTCATTCTCAGAATCAACCCATTGCCTTTTCCTCAGATCCTTATCGTTTTGTGGATCAAAAAGTTGTAAAAATGACTCCATATCTGCAATGGTTAATCATAATTATCATTTTTATAAAAAAAATTAAAATTAAAAATTAAAAATTAAAAATTAAAAATATGTATATAATAAATTCAAAAAATATTTCTATTGTTCTGAATTTTATATACATTATTTCTATAAATTTATTATTTATAAACATGAATATTCAACAAATATATTAAAAAAATTAATATGATTATGTAAATAGGAAGCATGAAATTATTTCATATTACACAATGTAACATCATATTATACAGCATAACATCACATAAAATAGAAATTGCATCACAATTATACAATCTCACAACTCACGATTTAAATTTTCAAAAACTTTTGAAAATTTTTTATTCTATCTATTCCTTAATAAAAATATCGAAATAGAAAAACTTTCATCTCCAAAATAAAGTTTGCTTTAAACTGGACTTCTTATTAGACTGAACTTTGAGTGAATTCTTATCACAAACTTCTTCAGAACAAATAATGTGATCTTCGAGAGAGAATAAATAGGAAATAGGCATGAAATCTTGTCACATTACACAATGTGACATCATATGAAATAGAAATCGCATCACAATTATGCAATTCGCGACTTGAATTTTAAAATTATTTTCCATCTTTATTCTTGATAAAAATATCAAGAGAAATAAGAAATTTTCAAAAACAATTTTCTGCTTTAAACTAAACTTCTTATTGGACTAAATTTAAAATATTTAAAATAAACTCCTGTCACAAATTTCTTCGCAAAAGATGATGCAATCTCCAAAAGGGAAAGAATTTATTATCACTATTTTTTTTTTAAAAAAAGATAATCGTCATTATTTTTTTTCATCTATTAAGTCTTATCAGTAAGGAAAGTTTATTAAACATTACTTTTGTCAGTGCTTCTTCAGAAAATGACGTACTTTCGGGGATGCCCGCGTAAATACAGATGTGTATATGTGTGTATATACATATATAGATATATGCCTGCATCGAGAAATCTGACAGATGTAGGTACATGTTATATTACGATACACTGCGCTAGAACAAACACAGTGCCAGTATCAATGCAGATAAGGCATGCAGATCAGGCGCAGGGTTCGTCGATTTTGAGAGAGAAAATAAAATCAATTGGCCGTGTTGACGAACAGCTGTTTCGAAAGTAAAAGTGACAGCGAATAAAAGAAAGGACTCGCGAGAAATAACTTTTCATACGTCAGAAATGTATAGTCTCTTACCGCATCTTCCTGATTCCTGATTCCAGGTTCCAGGTTCCAGGTTCCAGGTTCCAGGTTCAAAAAGCGAGATCGTCCAGTCGGAATCGTGCGTTTAAGTTAGCAGTGCCATACAAGTCGCGGGGCATGATAAAAGTGTCAACACTTTACTGCCAGCCTCTTCTTTTTCTCCGTCCTCTATGCAATTAGGTCACAAACTGTCTGTCATATTCTGGCTGATCATGAACGAAACATAGAACGGAAACTTGTTCCACGAACGACCGAAGCCACCAGTCAAAATGAAATGTTCCATTGTCCAATAAGAGAATTGTATTTTTCCCCTAGGGACACCAACTCTGTTTATAAAATACAAATCTTCCTATTTAAGGCTGCATTTCGACATTCACTGCCAGTACCAAAAATATATAGTTCAGATTACGTATATTATAAATTTTCAGTACTAAATCGAGAGCCTTTGTTATATTTTATTATATTATAAATATTAAATTCGAAAGAGATATTTAATAATCCTGAAGCGATATATTGATTTGGATGTTTCGTGGATGTATTTGTGAAAAATGTCTCTTTTAATGTCTATCAGTTCAATCACCGATAAGCTCCGATTAAAAAACTACTTTATGAAAGTTACTTATGAAAGTTTGCATCATGGTGTAAAACAGGGGTCGGCAAAAACATTAAAATTGGGCACGAGCGCCCACGAGTGTCCGCCCGTTGTGCACATCTCAGGAGCGTATCTAATATTTTTAGTATCTTGGAATAAAGTTCCGCATTTCCAAATGAAACTTAATTTATGGATCAATCAATTTCAATCTCGATAGTTGTTGCATTTTTCAAATTTATTATCTGTTGCCATGCACATTCAAGATAAGCAATAGAAATGAAGAATATATAAATTCACTTCAATTATTATAATGAATTTGATTGTCGGTTTAGGGAAATGCATGTTTTAGAAGAAGACTTATTTATTTTTATGACACCTTTTACTGTTGATATTAATATTGTTCCCGCATACAATTAGAATTAATAGATTTAAAATGTGACACTGCTCTTAAAAATTGTTTTTATACAATGACTGACATCGTACAATTTTATTCATATATATCTCAAGAACATTTTCCTCGATTACATGCTTGTGCTGCAAAAATAATAAGTATGTTCGGTTCTACATATTTATGTGAATAATTATTTTCTATTATGAAATTAAATAAATCGCAATTACGCGAACAGTTAACAGATTCACATTTGAATTTTGCAATAATTCGTTTAAGTTAAAACGATAACACCTGATATATCGTATATAATATCGGAAAAATATGAATCAAATACTAATTAAATGTTATAAAATGTTATATAGTTGTTTATTTAATATTATTGTAAGAATTGTTTATTTAAAATATAGATAGATATTAATTTATGCTAATTCTGGATCTGAATTTGTGCAACACAATATTTTTTTACTCTTTGAACAGCACGTTCAATGAACAGACGTTCCTGCTATCCTCTGTCCTCACTTTATTGCGCCTAGTCGCCTAACGCTAGCCCCAGCACGCTCGATTGTTGCCCGCGGGCATTGGGCGCCCGTGAGCAGTGCCCACTTGCCGACCCCTGGTGTAAAGAAACAAAGGATGCGTTCCTTTATTCACTCCGAGTACTGTCAGTACTACGAATAGCGTTCCGATATAGAGAGTAGTGCACTCCGAAAATACTGCCTTGAATTCTATGACGTCATTGATTTTGACGTACTTCCTGTTGCGGCTACTGCAACCAGCGAGGTAAAGCAGTTAGAGCATAAAGATGGCTGCTTCCATGGAGACTGAAATAACTTTGATTGATGCTGAAGAAAATAAAGCGTATAATATGAAATAATATAATATAATGAAATTATTATGATATATAATATTATGAAATTATTTATTATTATTATTATTATTGATATTAATATTATTATTAATTTTTTATTATT